ATTTTGACACTTAGTTTTAAATGCTGTATACAAATAAAACCCTTAGTAAAACTCCTTTACCAAACCAATATGACATGGTCCGTATTATACCTTTACTTAAAACATCTCTTCAGTTAAGCTCTCCCTACAAATAGGATTTGTACTTTTTTGCAATTTTGTTTTTTTTTCCGTGTTCTCTTGGTTGACCCATCCAGTTTGCCAGTTACCCGCTCTCATATCTTAACTGAATGACTACACTGAGGACAATACTGAGAACTGCTTCATTTTGGTATGAGACCAATTTCCATTTTAGAATATTTCAGTCCCCTTCCTCCTGTTTTGGTATTGTCAACATTATGCTCAAATTGTGTTCCTGCTTTTTATTATGTCAAAGTGTTCAGCTTTAATAATACTTCTTTCTCTTTTTATAGACATGCCAGAAACAGCAACAGTGATTCAGATGATGCTGAACAACAGCAAAATAAGCATGTTGTATCTGATAGTGATTCTGATAACAGGGACAAATCTGGTAGTGAATTAGGTAGTCCACGGAGGTCCAGTGCCCGCCCATCTGATGATGAGTCTGACAGTGACAGGTCAGTCAGGAAGAGGAGACAGTCGGATTCAGACCAGTCTGACAACGAATCTGTGCAGTCCGGGAGAAGCCGCTCTGGTGGTTCAGAGAATGAATCTCGTCCAGCTTCTCGCAGCGCTGATTCAGACAGAGATTCTGATAGAGGATCTGACAATGAGGGCTCTGGCAGAGGTTCTGGCAATGAATCTGAACCAGAAGCATCCAACAATGAGGCATCTGAAGGTGGATCAGATGATAGCGATTGAAGCCAGTGTTTTTTAAAATTGTTTTGTAAATATACTTCAGTTACAAGGTGGGGAATTTTTATATTTGAAAGCTGTGATTTAAAAACCTTAATGTTTTAGTAAAGCTGTTGTGAAACTTTCTTTCTGTGACTTTTTTTTTTCTATCAAGTTGTATGTTACTAGCCACCAATGAATGTTTCTCTGTAGGCATATGGTATATTCTTACACTGAAGCATATAGATGAAGATCAGAAATACTGTACCGTGTAGTAAGCCCACACATGAAATGGACTGCATGTAAATGCTTTGTCAAGCTCCCGCAGTTCCAACCTTGTTGAAACGGTGTATCCATGCAATGTTACTACTTCCAGAAAAAGGAATAGGTACACTTCCAAAATATTTTCTCAAATGGTACAAAGAACTTTGGGGTATTTATATCTTTGTTTCTGAATAGAGAGTAGTGGTAAACTTTTTTACTTTCAAAAAATGCATTTACTGTGATGCAACTCCTAAAATTTTCAAAAGTACATTCTTATGGCTGCTTGTTTTTCTGGTATATTTAGAGAGAACAAAAAGCAAAAAAAAGATGGAGGTTTAAATAAAGTCATAAAATTATGACATTAGGTGTGTAGATTAAATAAATATTTTTAAGTTGGCAGGTGAAAAACAGATGTAGAAAACTCTTTTCATATTATGTGGAAAGGGGAGAGATCTGCCAGTGTCATAATAAACTGTTACTAACATCTGCTTGGAGTGACTTATTTTACACCATCCTATTAAAAAAAAAATTGTGCCAGAATATCTTTAAGTTTTAGACTTCAGTGGAGGAGGAAAAAAAAGATAATTGATTCATTCTCATTTTTAGTGCATGGTTATCGCTTTAAAAACTCCTCATCTTAATTCTGTCTGCTGTAGTAGTGCTCATCTTTTGGCCTGCAGGCCAAATCCAGTCTACAGAGATGTTTGCTGTGCACAGGTCCAGAAATTGGCAGTGGGAAACAGTGGCAGGTTCAGTTGCTGCAGCTCTGTTGCCATGTGCACTGAGGCTGCCGCAAAAGGTACAAAGTTGCCCTGCTATACTTTGGCTGAGACCCTCGAGCTAGATAACAGCCCAATGCAAACATTAAGTAAACTATAAATCGGCTGCTCTTATCATTAGAGCAATATTTCCTATTCTTTTGAAAGCTTGTGGTGGTGTAAAGGCCAACACATTGTAGATTTTCATAATATATCACTCCTTTATATAGATGGTACAGCTGACAATACTTAAATGACCCTAATATTGACTGGACAGTTCAAACTCGTCAAGCCTCTTTTAGGTTTTCTCTAAACTTCATCAGGGTACATACAACATTGGGTATGCTTGTCACATTTTCAGGACATTTTTGCCATCCATGACAGGCTTATTTTTAATGATAGCTTAGTGCAAAAACAACAGGCTTCTCTACTAGTTAAAAGAGTTAATGGGACTTGTTGGTGTTTTGCTTATGGCTGTATTTTAGTAGTGGCATATACCAAACACCAGCAGGTCCCACTGATTTATAATTAACCGGTAGTGATGTTTAATGATAGGAAAACCAGTCATTGTATACACTAGACTTAACATATGGAAATCACAGCACCAGAATGAAACCAAGGATTTTTGGCTCACAAGTAATCCCAGTGGGACTGAGAGGTGGAGATCTGCTAAGCATTAGACTCCTGAGAAGACTCCAGCCAAGAACCCTTCAAAAGGTCCAGCAAAGTCTCCTTAAAGAAGTCCTTCCAAATTAATATGATTGCTATTTACAATATAAATACATTTAATATAGCTATATTACTCATGTATAATTGAGTACAAAATTCTGGGATATTTTTGGTGAAAATAGTGTATCAGGCCTCGTTCAGGAACCAATCCCACATTTATAGCATTTTTTCCTATGTTTTGACTTACAATTGATTCCTGAAAACCATGTCTTGTAAGTCTGACAACTGCCTGTATACGATGCAAAAGTAATCCAAAGCAAGCCTCAAGGTGGTGGGGGGAGGGAGTATTTGCCCTTGTTTACTTCTTTCCTACTTTCTTTTCATAATTGGAAAGACTAGAGGGAGAATGAGAACCAGCCTTTGTGGTTTTGCTTCCCATGTATTGGATGTAGTTGTCTGTTGCTGTCTCTCTGCTTTACCGTACAGCATATAATCTTTGAACAAGATGTTCTACCACTTGCTTTTGCAAGCAGAGCCAACAAAACAATGTTTCTCTCCTTTTGGCAGTATTCTTCCCTTTCAAGAAATAGGCAATTGGCTTGGGTATCTTAAATTATTTAATGAATAGCCATAATTCAATCTTTTATAGTAAATGTCTATTATTATAATAGAAAAGCAAATATTTTTCTCATAGATACTATAGCAACTCTGTTAATGAGGTGTGTGATAATGAGATTAGAAATGCTTTGCCTCTCTAGAATTGTGCTTTCCACCAAGTTTTGACACCTTAAATGAAATGTCATACATTGGTATCTGAGTACACCATACTTGTAATAAGCAGCTGATACTTATTTAGGACCAAGAATGAGCAGTTTGGGCCCTTCACAGTAGGAACACTTGTGAGGTAATCTCATTGACAGATTAAAAAAAAGCAAACCTGGAATTTTATAGTCCACCCCCCCTCACCCCCCTCCAGTTTTCCCTTTCACAAATGTGTTTTCAACCATGCTTATTACTGGGAAGAAGCAGCTGTCATTGCTGAGTAACAAGGCATCTGTGTGTAAACATATTCTTTCCAAATGTCCACCTCTGCCTCTGACTCACAAAATGCCTGTAATCCATCAATGTGGAAGCCAGGTGCGGACAGACAGGGGAGTGTGCTGTCAATGAATGAATCAATCGAGGAGAAGGGCTACATTAGCAGCTCTGTAGATAAAGTTGTGACAGTTTTATTTTTAAGGCTGGTTTTTCTGGGAATAAATTGCCTGTTACTTGAAATTTCTCACTGACTAGAGCAAGAGAAGACTTGAGTCATAAAGTTTGATTAATCGGAGGGGTGGGATTTGGGTGAGGAGGGAAAGGGCAGACAAACTGAGTTCTACTTGTAAAGATTCACGTTCTCTTGTACAAGTTGTGCTTTCATGAGTTAGGATTTCTTCCATGGTTTCCTTCAGAAGGTGCAATAGCAGGAATGATGTTTCTGATTCTATGCAGCTTTATAACAAGAGATAGGTTGGGAAACTGAATCTACAATGCTTCCTTGAGAACCTTGAAGAAGGAAATGCTGGATTGCATAATGCCTAGATTATAATCTAAATCAAGATAGTTGAATTTTCATTCCCTGGTAGTGCTGGTGCCAGGGATTGTAAATAGAATAAATAGTTACACTCCCATCCTTCCTTCCAGTGTAAACATGGTTAGATTATGACTTTATGTAACAAGTTTCAATAACACCATAAAGTCAGCAGAGAGGCAGGTAAACAAAATAATGAAGTATTTCTTGTGGTCCTGTGAATTCTTTTAATATAAATATTTATTATTTTTATTTTATAGTAAGATAGTTTATACCTTCTGGAAAAATGAGCTCTACTGTATTTCTTTGTTACTGTTGGAGGGACATTTGAAAACATTTTGGACCCATTTCTTTGCCTTCAGAAACTGGTTTCTCTCTGAGGGTTCATTTGCTCTTGTCCAGCTACTTGCGTTACGTTCTTTCCTCTCCCAAGTGGAGACCGAACATTTGGGATTTTATCAACTTAGATCCCCCACATTAAAGGAACTGATCAGTACTCTATTTTAGCTTGTTTCTGTCTCCTGAGTCTGTTCTGGTGTCTCAGCCTCTGACTGAGGGATCTGAGGGGCAGGAAGAATATTTCTGTGAGCCCCTTCTGCAGTCCAAGTAGATAATGCACGTGGGTTACAGGGGTAGACCTAGGATTTCACAAAAGGGGGTGTGGGAGCAGTTGCTGCCACTGCAGGGATGGCTGCAAGTCCTGCTCCCATCCTCCTCCCTGCTTCCCTCCCACCCCACCAGGATGGGCAGACCCCACAGTGGGAGCAGCAGCCAGAGACTTAAATCCCAAAAGTAACAGTTCTCCTTCACCCCCTCACCCTGCCACATACTGGTACCAGTGCCCTCACTGTCCCAGGGCTGAGGAAGGCTCCAGAACTGCTCCAGCTGGGCTGCATAGGGGCTGGCTCAGCCTGGGCCAGTGGCGATTGTCACAGGTGCGTTCCCCTCCGCCTGCTCCCCGAGTGCTCTCTGCCAGCATGGGGAGGGGAGGGGTATTGCCTGTCCACTGCTGCCACTTGTGGGTTGAGCCCAGCCCCCACGCAACCTGGCTGGAGTGGAAGATGAGGTCCCCACATGTTCAGGACAGTGCGGGCACTGGCAGCAGCAGGTGGCGGAGACCCCCAGCAGTGCAGTGGCTGCATATGGCGCCGGCCCAGCTGCTGATGTGTGCCCACGGACAAGATTGAGCCACTTTTGCTCAGCTCTTGGTGCTGCACATAGAAGCTGCGCACCCTAGGGCCAAGCCGGCTCCTGACTATGGAGCCAGCCTGCCCTTTTGGTGGGAGGGGCGCATGGAGGCAGGAGCCGACCCAGCCCGAGGGTGTGCGGCTTCTGAGTGTGGTGCCAGGAGCCACGGGTCACAGCAGGAGTGGCTTGGTCCTTTCTGAGGGCACAAGCCAGGGGCCGGGCCAGCACCACATGCAGCTGCTGGGTCTGAGGCAGTGCCATACCACGGGGAAGCCAGAGACACTCTGGCTGGGTGCCAGAGCATGTACTGTGCTGCTTTTTTCTGGCATGTGTTTTTGATCCTGGGATTTCCTGGTATCAAATTCAGAGTCCGCACTGACATTTTTTCATTCCCAGCGTGCCTCTTGCAGCATCTCAAACTGCTTTGAGACACCACAACAGGCACGTGCTTGCTTGAATGGAAGGGCCCTGACTCTTTTACGTGTGGGTGGTAGTAGCAAAGACAAAGAAAGGCAACTTCTTAACTCTAAAGTGGCCTGCAAAGACTGCCAGAGCTGTAGTCAGCTAGGAGAAATTCAGTATTTCTTAAACGCCTCCAAAGGGAGGAGAAAATAAACACTAGATTCAAACTGGAGGAATATAACCAAATATTCACCTTCCTCCCTTCAGGGCTCCCTATTTCTCTCCTAATATTAGTATAAAATGTAAACGCCGCCGTGGAAGCTGGTGATCCGAAGTGGATGCAGTAGCTAAGAAAGGGTTCAGGAGAAGATTTCTGTCCCAACAAGTGGTGCATGCTGAAAAAAACCACGAGAAGCAGCAATTTAAGGTAAATAAAATGTAAAACAGTAATTAACTTTTTGAGGAGGGTAAGGCATGGAGAAAATTGGAAGGCCTGGAAGAAAGTATCAGTGTGATTGCTAACGTTCTAGATATCACCAATTTGAAGGGAAAAGATGCAGAAAATGGTCATGTTGGTGGCTGTATTTTTAAGGTTCATTTTAAAAAAATCTGTATCATGGAGTAAGACCAGCTCATCTGGTTGGACCAATGACTCGAGATGGAGCCAAGGCTGTAAGTGAGCTTGTGAGAAAAAGGAATTTCAGTAACATGCAATACTGTCTGTGCAGAAGTGATGTGCCCTGAGAAGGAACTGTAATCCTTTTGGCCCGAGACAGCTACAAATTTTAGGAATTATTTGTTGTTTCGATCCCTATTGCTCAGGCAAGTTGTCTTATTTACTGGGGATTTGATTCCTTTATTTATTCCTCTGTTTTTTAGTTTATGTTAATAACTGA